GCAGAATTGAGGATAATGTACACACCGTCATCATCATTATCAGTAATCGAAGAATTATTATTAGATGAACGCATATATACCTACCTACCCACCTACCTACCTACCTACCTACTTACCAACCTATCAATCATTATCTCCTTTCTGTCTCTTTCTCTCCATGTCTCCATCAATCAATCATTCAATCACTCACTCACTCAATCAATCAATCAGTAAGTCAGTCAGTCAATCAATTAAGTTAAGCTAAGCTAAGCTAGGTAGGATGCATGTCAGCTCTACAAACTCGCCTACATACACTACACACACACATACATACATACATATATTGTTGTGTCCTCTGTAATAATATTATTCTTATTATTATTGATGAAGGGATAATAACGATAGCCTGTCAATCAAAAATGTCGTTAAAAATCACCTATATATACATATATATATACATACATATATATACATATATATATATATGTATATGTATATACGTGTGTCTATTTATGAGTGTGTACATGCATACACGCATCATTGATAGACAAGGAAAGTTCAGACAATTTTACAACCTCTATATACCTGCCTGTCTGCCTGACTACCTCTCTCTCTCTCTCTGTGTCCCTCTCCTCTGCCTGACTGCTTAACTGCCAAATATCCTAAAATGTAAAGAAAAAAAAGTAGAAAATTGTCTATAAAAATGAAAATGAGGGATGCCACCCAAAAATGAAAAAAAAGAGAGGTGAATGTATTAGTATTAGTATCATCAAAACAACATCTATCCTCTCTCTGTGTGTCTCTCATGCTCCCTTTCTGTCAATCTATTCTAATAAACGTAACTGTCTGTCATCAAAGGTGATGTGTATATGCATGTAGTGTATGTTGTATCACTGTATATGGACTGTAGGATTGGATTGAATGCTGAAAGTGTTTATAGCCTTTCTATTTGGTTAGTTAGTTAGCTAAATGGGTTAGATATGACACTATTGCTAAGACTAACTTGAAAATGTTTACTTTTTCACACTGTGTGATGAATGTGATGTTGTTTACAATGTAGGAATGAATGAATGATTTATTTTGATTTTGATATCCTACCAACTATCTATGGCACATATATCATACAAATTCCATTTAATATGAAGCACATTGACTTTTGTAGGCAAAATGACAATATATACATGTATGACAAAGGGATCAAGAATAATCTGATCTTGTTTTTCAAAAAAAAAAAAATAGAATACTGACAGATACACCTGCCTAAACAGGATCCACATGACTTCAGAAATCCGGATAACACTAGGTTGACTTGTGAATTTTTAATCCAATCCCCTGTTGATTGACTGGACCAAAATGTTCGTCCTCTGTTGACATGTTGCCTCTTATGGATGGAGGCTTGATGATGTCTAAAGATTAACTTGACTAGCGGTAGAATCCTACAGGATGTACATTTCATCGTATTTGGGACTGTTTCAATAATCAACCACCAAGTCAATCGATCAACGGGAAAATCAGAATTAAATGAAAAACAAATAATAATTGGTGCTCGTTGAACAATATGTGATTCTTTTAGTCTAAGTGGTCTAGTGAATAACGATGGGTACTGGGTTCTAGTCTCAGGGGAAACATTACTGCTCGCCGAGAATGCAGTGGATGAGTTCCTGATAGAACGAAATCAGCATTCTGGATTCTACTACTGTTAGTCACCATGCACCAAATTGCTTAAAGTTTTAATATTTTTTTATTACAGCTTGATTCCTCACTGTATTTTTGGTACAAGTATGGAATTTTCAGAATGTGATATCGGTAGCCCAAATTTTGCAGGCCGACCATAGATATCAAGTGTGCGTCCGCAGGGGATCGAACCCCGGACCATGTACATGGTCGGCGAGAGTCCTAACCACTGTGCCACCGACGCACAATTGTCTATTGATAAAAAGACTGTTGTGAATATTCTTTAAATGATTTGCTTAAATTTATATTTCCTGCTGACTGATTATACTTGATCAAAATGTCCGATTTCCATTGACTGTTTTCAGGTATTGATTTTTCTAAGGATTGTATTTGATTGGTTGAAGGGTTTGATCATGAATTGACATAATTTGGAGGACCATTAAAAACAAGCAGGAAGTACTGGACAGCGGTTTGGTCAGCCTAGTTTGGGACTCCTCACAGTACTCACCCACCGACAGGGTTTGAACCCAAGGCCTTCTCGTTACAAGGCCACCAATCTCGTAGACCATTAAGCCACTGGCACTTGACCCAATCCAATGGCCAGCGATTGCATGAATTTTAACTTCTGCCAATTCACGCACGGCATAGCGCGACCACTTCGCAATGTCTTCTTCGATGAGTAACTGTCTTCACCTTCAACCTGCTGTACCCGACTGGTTACGGATTCCGCTAGTATGGGCTCTCACAACATCATGTTAATCATCAGACATTGTTGAAACGTCTGTACTAGGGGCAGCCAACTAGTCAATGAGAATGGGACATTTTGATTAAATATAAACAATCAACTAGAAATCTGAAATTTTCTTAACTTAAAGCCTAATAATTACTGATACCTGTTGTATAAGAGGTGTCTGTATTGTGACTCGCATGATCCATTGGATAACTCTTTGGCACTTGAAACGGTGGCTGATTGGTTCAAGTCTTAATGGGATGACCATCATTTACTGAGGATTATATCCAGTACATACACTAGGTGACGAGCTCCCAACAGGACGAAATGAGCATCCTGGAGGATGCAACCATCCACTAAATAATATTCTTAAAATGCATTGAGTACTAATCGTTTGTTGAAATTCTGTTTCTCTAACTTTGTCTACATATATATTGTATTCGTGCAGGAATTATATCTGTCGCTATACTATGAGTTAGCGAATCATTTTGGAGAATAACAGGGATTTTTCTCACTGGAAGAGAAGTAGGGACAATATAATCAGCAATAATAATTGTTATTGATGGTAAAATAGTCTGAGGGAGCCTTGATTTGGCAGACTGTTAATGATAATCAAAGATGAAAAAATGACATCTGAATCACTACCCCAGTGTTCATCCAGGTGGTAGAGATGATTCATGTGTTAAACTAAGACTACCTCAGATAGTTTCATCGTCATCTAACAACTCGCTCTTCCTCAGTATGATTAAGGTTAACAGGAGAAGTCCTAGCTGAACAGACAGTAACGTTTCATTAGTTCACATGATGATTGGTTATGACCTGGTTCATGGTAGTTGAGTCTCATAGCTTAATCGGGAACTGCTGTTTCAAAAATCTCCTGTGAACCAGAATTTCACCTCATCTCCAATAATCTATCACAACGTCAATAGTAATAATAATAATTGTTATGTCAGTGTTCTTCTGTTAACCTCAGAAAGAATACATGAAGTGTAGAGTAGTATAATTTGAATATAAGGACAGTTAATTACCTATCGGAATGGATTATTGTTGTAATGTTTCATAAACTGTCAATCACTGAAAAGCCTAGATCATACTGAGTTCATGAACTCATGTATTTATTCATACTAGACAAGTCTTTTTTTGATTTTGGTCAGGATATATGAAGAGTTATGCTTCTTTGGTATGAAATCGTTGTGTAAATTGATTATTAAAGTCTGCCTCGAAGTTAACTGGTTTCAAATGGTGATAAATCTACTTCATTGTCACAATCCTACACTATGATTTAGTTTGTAATCCTTTTGTTCTTGTGATTTTATTCCTCTCTTTTCACTAATTCGGCTCTTTGAGCTGAGTACACCACTGATGAGCTCTGTTACAAGAGAATGAAACGGCCATCTAGTGTTTAGATCACTTCGACCTGGCTAGCCAGTGAGCACTAATGGTTGATATGAGTAGTATCTCAAGGAAACAGTAGTATATGGGTTTTATGTATTTATATTTCATAAATTTTTTCCTAAAGTCAAACACCTGACCACACCACTGCTATTATTATTATTATTGTCTCCTTTAGTTCCTAAAGGAACATAGGGCTTCAACCGCACATCTCCATTGCATTTAGTTCTCTGCTAACCTATTCACCTGGCTCCACGTCTGCCCAAATCCTTTTATCACCTATTCACATTATCTCCTCAATGTCACCCTCGCACTCGCCACTTCCCATTAGGTTTCCACTCGAGCAATGGCCTGGCGTGTGATGTCACTTGATGGTTTGTTTTCTCAGAGTATGGCCAGCCGATCCACCTCCATTTCTTTCTGTATACTTTTTGCACAATCGGTTCCTGGTTGGTGGGTTCGTTCATTGCCAGAGATCCCTGTTACTGATCTTTTCTGGCCAACCATTTGATCTTGAGTAGTATTGAGCGAAGACAGCTGTAGATGAAGGTGTGTATAGTATGTTCGAAGTGCCCTTCGTGACGCGGTGACAAGTCTCTGATCCACGTAGTAGCAGTGACATCACATTGGAGTTGAACACTACTGTTAATCGTAGTAAATTTAAACTGTTTTGTTTACTGACATACCCTCATTACTCATCAAGGGTTTTATTTCAAAGGAACACTTCACTTTTTTTTGGGGGGGGTGGAACTCAATGAAAAGAGACTGAAAAATATGAAATATATGATAAATTTCCGATCATCTAGATTAAATTCTACGGATTTCAAAATTGGCAGTAAAATTTTTATCCTTGTATTTAATTTTTTTGCGTTCCGATTGCACCATAACACTTCAGTCTTCAGCTTCACTAGCAGGGGTGTTTTTCTCTGATCGTGGCTTACTGCAATCGGGAATCGAATCCGAATCTCCCATGTATCTCTCGCGAGCATTCTACCACTGAACTACTGACATACCCATACACATCCACACACACTAAGGACTTCAGTTTATAAGCAGCTTTTAGTTAATATGTCCTGGAGTTCACACTTATTAGAAAGGCACATCTATTCATAACCTGAAGGAATTCTATGTTATACAGTTTTATAAAGTAATTAAGTCAATACTCTATTCACTAATTAATGTCATCTTAACAATACCTTTTAATTTTTTTGTCTTTTAATTTTAGATTTATCCGAATCAATGAAGATTAGTCAATCACCAAATAAAGATGTTAACAGTTCTCATATTCATCAGATAAATAATGAAAATAAATTATTATCTAAATCATATAATAATAATTTACTTGGAAATATGATGAATGCTAATAGTAGTAATAATATCACTACTGGTAAAGCTGGAGTTGGTTTCGTCAGTAGCACTGGTGGACGAATCAATCCTAATCTCAGTCATGAACAGAAACGGAATCATCGAAGCTTAAATGAATCATCAATAATGAATAATACTAATAATTTAGGTGATTGCAATTCAACAGAATCTGATGAGAATTCATCAGTAAATATGTCTAACAGCAACAACAACAATGCAACAAACACATCGGTGGCAATGTCTACAGCAACAACAGCACCTGGAGCTCCAACTACTACTGCAACATCCTGCTCTTCAACTTCATCAACATCACCGAGTGGTGGTGGAGGTGTTGGATCAGGTGCATTATTCAGTATACGAAGAGCTGTAGGATTGTCTAGAACTAATCTACCCTTTCCAGCACGTAAACGTTTATTTGGCTGGTTAGTTGATCATTTAAGAGAACCGTATCCATCAGAAGAAGAGAAAATGATGCTTGCTATGGAGACGGGGTTGTCACGGACTACTGTAAATAATTGGTTTATTAATGCTAGACGACGTTATGTGAAACCATTAATGCAAGGACGACTTGTTTTACAATCAGGTGTTTTTAAAACTGTTTCTAATGATAACTGTAGTGGTAGTAATAATAATAATGCAACAACACTTGGAGGTAGCGGAGGGGGCGGCGGTGCATCGTCATCATCCGCTTCATCTCCCCCATCACCTGCAACAAACACAACCAGTAATATTAGTAATAATAACAATAGCAACAGCTTTGGATCAAATCAATACATGGCTACAAATGCTTCTGCGCCTTACAAATCGAGTTATACACATAGTCCATTAAATGATAAGGGTCATCGCGAGAGATCTGGTTCTCGAAGAGGTGGTAGTAACAGTGGCTTTAGTGGTAATACCAACAATGGTAATAACACCAGTAGTAACATTAACAATTCACCTAATAATATGCTACAATTTACAAATTCATTCACTACAAATCCCCTTTCTTCTACAAATGATTCAATCAACTCCCCATGTCATATCAGTAATTCATTTCTTTCAAATGCTTTTCAATCCTCCTGTTCCTCGTCCTCATCACAACAAAATAATTTATCGATTGGTAAATCACCGAATGCATCAGATTCCGCAGCAGCTATCTCAGCAATGGCAGTTGCTGCGGCAGCTGCCGCAGCTGTATACGCTGGAGCTACAAACAGAGGATCGTTGACATCCGTTCCAACGACTGCATCCTTATCAGGTCCACCATCATCGTCATCATCAGTGTTATCCCCATCATCATCGTTACTATTCTCATCACAATTTAGTAATCTACTTAATTCAGCAGCAGCAGCGGCAGCGGCAACAGGAGGGGGAGGAGCAAATTCATCTATGGGGATGAGTCGATCATCACGTGGTGGATCTATGCATCATTTACATTCGTCTCTACAACAGCAGCAACAACAACAGCATCATCAGAATCAACATTCACAACAACAACATTCTGATATGTTATTATCCAATGAAAATTTAGTAGATGGTATTACAAATCTATCTAAAAATCTCTTATGTTCACCTACATCTGAGCAAGAGCATATGATAGGCGGGAGTAGTGATTGACTGAGCAATTCACAGGTGAGGTGGTCAAGTTACACGGAAGTTTCATGAAAATTGAAAATATTATATCTCTCTCTATATATATTGAAGAGAAATTAATTAAACATCTGTTCACGGCATAAAATGTATTATAAAGTTGCGTTTTTTTTTCGTTTTTTTTTGTCAATCTCTTAACTTGTTCAACTATCTCTATAAATACAATAACACAACAAAAAGGATTGCAGAACGAAAACTCATCTACGTGGAGGTTTAATACTTACTTTATTGTCATAATAATAATAATATGGAATAAAGAAAGATACAGGTGTTTCTATATGAAAATGAGTATGTACATAAATGTAAACCCTCGCCCAGCCATCCACCCACTCACCCTCACTCACTCACATACACATACACGCTCCAACTCCCCAAAGACACCCCTCCCCGCGCGCTCTCTCTCTATTTGTGCTAATAATATCAATAATAACAATAATATAACAATGGTGTATAATGACAATTCTGTAAAATTCTCTTTCTCTGTTGTTTTTTTTATTTCTAATATAATATACGCATATATTACATTTTTAGATTTGTTATGTGAAGACATTTATTTCCGTGTTGATGTAAGACTGTAGTGTTATGGTAGAAACCAAATGTGCTTATACACACATATGTGTGTTCATATGAGTACATGTGTCCGTCTGTGTGTGTGTGTGGATATCTACTTACCTTATTCGCGCCCACTTTTATTGTTCTAGCGATCTTTGCACTCGATTATTAACATTATAGTGATACAATGTATGTGTATTTGTGTGTGTGCGTGTGTGTGTGTGGTTGTTCCTCTAAGAAGGAATTTCAAGAAAAAAAGGCAATTGTCAAATGAATGTTTTTGGCATTACAGTATTTTTTATCCCCGCCCCCACTTTACTCACCTCCGCACAACCACCCCCCTTTTTTCTTATTCTCTATTCCTCCTTTCTTTGAAATCTGTGTTTGTTAACAAGAAAGAGGAGAATGAAACTCACCTTTTTCTAATATTTCCGCCTTTTCTTGTGTAATATTTTTCTTCTTAAGAAAGGGAGTAGTACACAATACGGGGGAAGAAGAAGAAGAAGGATTAAAGAACATTTTTGCTTTTGCTTTTCACGGTTATCTTGTTTCATTTTTTAAATCTTTGTTAATCGATTTTATCGATGAGTGAAAAGGCGGTCTTAAAACAAGTAGTAAGTAATGATATTTGTATTAATTATATTTATTAAAGAATATTATTATTATTATTATTATTATTATATTATTGATTTCTCCCTGAGTAATTCATTCATTTCACATTTGCCTGTTGTCTCACTCTTCCTCCCTCTTTTCATCTTCCTGTCTAATTCCTCTCCCCCCCCCTCCACCGCCATGGATGTATCCCCGCCCACACACACGCATACACACTTTGTACTGTACTCTGACGATTTTTATTCTTCTTTTTCTCATTTCTCATTCCTGCCCCCTCCCTTTCCACCGCCTAATTTACAAAGGGAAATATCAAAGGTAAAAGCTAATTTCCAGTAGTGATAGTAGTCAACGTCAGCTGTTTAAGAGAAAAATATGTTTCTTCAAAAAATAAAGTTTCTTTTTTCCTGCACTTTATTCATATTACTATAATTTTGAGTACACATATATGTGCTTAGACGACACATAATGTGTGTAAGTGGTGTACAGGATTGTTAATATATATTTTTTATAGTAATTTGTAGGAATGTTATTATGTGCCTATTGTAATTTTGAATTATAAATACAAACAGGGAGGGATGGGTGGTTACAAATATGAAAAAAAAATTAACAAACTAAAACAAAATACGTGAGTAGGCTTGCACACAGTCACATACATCCACAGAGGGAGGTGGAGAGAGAGAGAGACAGACAGACAGACGCGTAAACAGTACACACAAAAACCCCCTTCAGCATACATTTAAATGTGTTTCAACTAACTAACTATAAAGAAGCAGGTATACACTCTGTACACTCTAAGTCTTATTACATCATCGATTGTTATAACTGTCATTATTTTCACAATAATGACTACTCCTCTTATTGTTGCTATGCCAACCACAGTGAATTAATTAATATAAAAAAACACAGATTTGTTTGTTTTTTTTCTTTTGTTCTGAACGTTGACATTTTGCTTTTTTGTTTTTTCTTCTTTCTTTTATTCTTTTTGCGTTCTGTTGTTTCTTTTACAGGTTATATACATATATGCAATATACATTATTTAAATATACATATGTGAATCTTCAAATAGTTTGTCTTCTTTACCTTTATTTCTATATGTATGCATATATTTGTTATATGTGGGGATAATTAAGGGTAGTTAGCTTAGTATTTGATATTTTTACCTGGAGAGAATTTAAAAAAATGCACTGGATGCAGAGCTCCAACAAGTTACAGAGGTTTATCAGCAGTTCCATTCGATGGCTCCACATTGAAGATCAAATAACCAACCGGCCAGAAAGAGTTAGCAAAAAGAAACTCTGGCTGGGAACAAACCAATGAGCAGCCGACTGCTCAACAAATATGTAGGAGTAAGTGGATATGGATTGGGCGTAGGCTGAGAAGGCCGTTGGATGACGGTGCGGGGGTGACATACAGGAGACTGTATGAGGAGGAGATGAGAGATTATGGACGATAGTGGACCCAGGTGAAGAGGACAGCAGAAAATAGGACAACGTGGAGATGTGTTGCAGGATTTGATTATGAGCTGACATCAGTTAGAGAACCATTGGAAAACCAACCAGGGAGTACTGGACAACTGTTTCAGCCTAGTTTGGGATTCTTCATCAGTATGCACCCACCGGGGGTTTGAACCCAGGACCTTTCGGTTATAAGGCAATCCAGCTCGTATACCATTCAGCCACTGGGACCCGATGAAATGCCAGCCCATGGATTCTAACTTTTGCCAATTCAAGACATAGCGCAACCGCTAACCAATGTCTTCGGCGAGTATTTGTCCTCACACCCGACCTGCTGCACTCTATTGGTCACGACTTCCCACTGGAACCCCAGGATTCTACCTACCTGAATAGAACCAGTCGCCAGCGAGCATCTCATTGATATTCAAGTACTGATTTGTAGGGATTTGGTTGATTGGTTACAGGATTTCATCATGAGCTGACATTAGTTAGAGAACCATTGGAAAACCTAGGAGTACTAGACAGCTGTTTCGTCCTAGTTTGGGATTCCTTGTCAGTACGCATCCCGGTGGAGATGTGTTGTTGAAGTCCTTTGTTCCACTCAGAACCAAAAGGGGTAATAAAATAATAATATGATTGATACTGTAAAAGTCAGTAATCGATAAGTATTTAATGACTTTAGATGGACTTTGTTACTCAAGCTGCGTCACTTGAAAGTGTCACTGAAAACTAAGGTGTAGGTATAAAACTAAAGTGTTAGGACAAAAACCCTTCTTTGCTAGCCGTGATTTGGAATTTATGTATGTGCTGACGATTATTGGACAACTTTGTTTCGTTTATTAATCATTTAGTTTTCTGAGGTTTAGTAAATACAGGACATCATGCTGTAGTTATTGTTGTGGTTGTAGTTCCGGTCGTTGTTTTTCTTTTCCGCTGTGACTTTTGTGTCTATCTCAGTATGTGAGGTAATTTTCAAATGATCATTCGGTTATAGTATCATGTTTGGAGGCCTATCCTGGTCAAGTTAGACAAACCCACAACCTAAGGATAACTCCATCATAAAAATCACAGCTTTATTCTAAACGATAGGTCAGCGTACAGTATGGTGTCTACTACTGGTATGATTTTATAAGTAGTACATCGTGTATGACGTCTTCTGCTGGAAGAGAAATGAAAGATCCTTTTGAACCAAAAAAAAATACGATGGGAAGACAAAAGAAGCACAATGTCGAGAACATGTACAAATGGAGATTTCAGTGTAAGGTTTATGTATTTTGCCGTAACTCTGGGGGGGGGGGCACTCCGTCCTATTTGACATTCGTTAGCCGGATGTAATTGTATCCTTAAGAATAATGGTGTTCCCAATGAAACATTGAAATGATTATTTTTGATTTTCGATTGCCAGCTGCTGTTAACTGAAGAACACAGTGTCAACTTTAAAATATCACCAGAACGTTCATACTGGTGCCAAGATATAAACAGAGGCTGAAAGTCCTGATCCAACGATATCAGTTGACTCCAGAATTCAAAATAATTCCAGTAAAGACAGATACTCATTACATGTTTAGAATCCTAATGTAAAATAGTAATAATAATAATAATAAAGGACGGCGTTTTATTTGAAGCGATGCTGTAGGGCTCTACAGCACCGTTTGCGTACACCCATTACCAATATGTCTCACCTTCATTTCCTCTGTATAATGAATTTCGGCCGATTAAATGAAGATTTAAGCATGGTTTTGAGCACTTTAATAATCTAAAACCATGTCCTAGGTTTGACAGGACTTATTTGGGTTATAATCATAGTTAAATGTCAATTGACAAAACATTTAGTGTCATATATAGGATAATTCACAAGGTGTATAGATGTTGGAAAAGGGTGCATAATTATAGAAATAGTAGGCAAATCGAATAAAATAAAAGCGTTATGTAATATTGTGTGAAATTTCATAACATTGAATTTAACTTTGCAAAACAGAATTGATTTAGAATGACAAGAGGAATATGTGAAATAATACCGGGGACAGTTAAGAGTGAGAATAGTAATAATAATAGTTGACATAATAAAGGAAGAGTATACAAACTGAATAGACAAAATGAAAAAAAGTGGTAGATCCAAAATATGATTAGGGATTAACATACTTTAGCATAGATGCGTTAAGACCATGAAAGTTGGAGGGGTTGAACAAACTCTTTCTGTATACAGAGATCTGGCTTTTCTGTTTCGATACCCAAAGCTTCAGGAATACTGATGAATCGGGTACGTAGTGATTTAGGTAAATTACCTTTCGCCTTATAGATGACATTAAAGGCGGAGGCTATAGAGAAAGGGTGATAATTATCGAACAGATGTTCAATGATCGCGCTTCTTATTGCTCCACTTCCACCTCTTCCTGACTACCATGCAGGATAGTGTTCTTGCACCCTCTTGGACAAAACTCGAGTCAAATGACCGTTATATCTATCTCCACACGAGCAGGTGAATTGATAAACTCACATAGAGCTGGTCAACAGCGGGATCTTGCCCTCCAGGTTATTGAACAGAAATGGTCTATTGGTAAAGGCTATCCTCAAAGATGCAGAAGGGAATTTTTTTAGCGACTGGGATATCCTTCTGTTGATGACATCGGAAGCTTAGTCACCTTTATATTCCAAGCTCATGTACAGTATTTTTTTTTTAGTGCAGATGATAAGTCACGTTTCATAGGATTCGAATGCATATTCTTGTCTATAAAACGTGGTGGAAATCCATTTTCTATTAAGATTTTCCTCATCCTCCACAGTATTAGGGCTAAATATGCGCCGAATGCGAGTGGCAAGCGACCAGATCGGGTTTCGTTTACGACCAATGGGAACCCAGTTGTAGAAATTCATAAGGTGTATGGATGGTGGAAAGGGGTGCATAATTATATATATATTTTGCAGCATAATATGGTGTGACAGATAGAATTCAATATCACAAAAAAAATTTTGAACTTAGAATTGCAAGTGGGGCAAGTGGAAACAATTCAGAGTGAGAACAGTAATAATAATTGTTTTAATTTATAATAGTAATAATAATCGTAGTAATGAGGCACATAGATTAACTAAATAAGTAGGGATTGTACATACTTCTTTCGTACACAAAGGTCTGGTTTAAATTCATGAATGACCAAGGCCTCCACTGTCTTTAGAAGTCAATAACAAAGTAAACGCGGCAAGCTAGCATGAATTCAATAGATGATCTTAAAATCATAGTCAGGGATGGTAGAGTGACAGGATTCGATCAGGTGTTTTGGAATAGAGCTTCGCATACACTTCCTTTCTCCATTGTAAAACCATGCTGGAATATGTCCTCGTATCCGTGTAAAAAACGTCCTCTGGCTACGGCCAATGTACCTTTCTCCAAAAGAGGAGCGGGTTCTTGCTGTAAAGAACGTCTTACTGACTGCTTTAGAAGAGAGACAGATTTTGAATATATCTGAAGTTTGATCAACATTGTATTCCAAGTTCATAAATAAGTTTTCTTTGGAACAGAATCGATGACCAGTTTAGTCTGCTTGTCTTTCGTGTTACTGTCAATAAATCGGTTCCGGTAAACATTTTCTGCGAGAGTGGCTTTTAGGAAGTCAAGTTCTTAGTCACACAAAGTCAAGGATCTATAGACAAAAACCAGAAAGTTGTCAGAGGAAGCAGTAAAGATAGAACTTCAAGTGGGCATACAGAAAACAGAGGTGATGGAGACACCTAGCTGATAACAACAAGCATTAAACACCATCAAGATAAATCTAAAGGAAGTTGCTTCTTCCCCCTACATAGACAGAATCATTCCAACTACAGGAGCCACGGATGAAAATGTAAAAACCAGTGAGGATAGAAAAAGCAAGACAAACCTTCACTGCTTTGAAATGAGTTTGGAAATCTACTAAATTCAGCTAAAAGAACAAGATTCAGATTTGTAATACTGATGCTAAACCAATTTTTTGTATGGCTCACAAACTTACTACTCATCTTACAAAAAGTATTTTCAGACTTTGATGAACAGCTGTTTTAGTCCCATACTAATGACCATAAAGGAATAGAAACAAAAAAACTGTGACGACGCAGCGAAACAGTCAACATCCTATTGTTCAGAAAATATGTAGACGGAAATGCAGAAGGATGGATTGAACACACGTAAAGATCGCTGAATGACATTAAGCTGCAGGCGAAACCTAGATTGGGACCTGAATAGGAAACGATAAGTTTGGCGTGGGTCTGGCAGTGACATGGAGGAGATTGTATGAGGAGGAGATGACAGCGTAGCCAACTAAAGAGGGCTACAGAAAACAGGATGAAACGGAGGTGTTTCGTTGAAGCCCTCAGGGAAAAATTATAACAGATACCTTTGCATGTGATTTCATCCGCGCACGAATTTCCCATACTGAATTTGAACAGATCAATAATAACACATGAAACAGGAGAATATGGACCCACTGTTCATCCCATTGATAATTTATCAACTACTTACAACCTGGAAAAATAAATACCGACAAAATAAAATGGATCCGTTTTATCGGCCTCCATGTGTTGTTATCGATTTGTTCAAGTACTCTATTAGCTGACAAATCCACTTTTTGAATTAAAAT